TGTGCAACATAGTAGGAAAGCATTGAGATTTTGCAACTTCCTTGGGCAGTCATTTCTTTATAAAGTCTCTCAAGTCACATAAAACTTAAAATTAAATAAATCTGTATGTTCCTCTCCTGCTAGTCTGTTTTATGTCAATCTAATTCTCAGGCCCTGCTGGGGTTCCTATGAAGGTAGAGGTAAAGCTTTGTCTGCCCTACACCATCCAACATAGTATCACTAATTCCATTTCAACCAGCAGTGTGTGACATTACTTCTTTCCCACACCCTTCCCAACACTGATGTTATCACATTTTAAAAACTTTGCTAATCAGATAGGTAAAAAAGTGGCATCTTTTTTTTTTTAAACCCACATATGCCTAATTACTGATGACACTGAGGATCTTTTTATATTTTTATTGGCCATTCAACAACGTTCCTCCTGCCTGTTCATGTTATTTTCTCTTGGTCATTTGTCTTTTGCTTATGAAATTCTCATTTGTTTAAATGTATATCACTATACTAACTCTGTGATACATGGGCTGTAGATACCTTCTGATAGACTATCATTCATCTTTATGTGGATGTTTATCGTACAGAGGTTTTAAATTTCAATATGGTTACCTGCGCCCTGGATCTGTTCTCTTCTCACTTCCTCAAGGACTTTTTTACTCCGTAGATAATGCCCCCACCCTTCCAGCTTCAACTTCACCCTAAGGAATCCTTGCAATTGTTGAGAAACATACTCTAGTTTGTCACACTTTTTATGACTTCTTGACCTGTCCCTTTCTCCAATTGCTGGCCTCTTTTTGCTTTATTTCATAGCAACATTTCTCAAAAGACAGTTTATTTTTTTCCATTCTCTCCACTTCCTCACCACCCCTCCAGTCATCAACCTCTGTAGTCTGGCTCTATGACCACCTCTCTGCTGGAATTGTTCTTGTTAAGATCACCAGTCACCTTCATGGTGCTAGTTGGAGTCACATCTCTGTTCTCACGTGATTTCACCTTTTGGCAGTATTCACCATGACTGACCATTTCTCCCTTCATGAAACATTTTTTTTAAATGTTGGCTTCAGTAAATGAGCTCCCCGTTTTCTTCCTAACTGCCTCAGCACTTCTCAGTACCCTTTACTGACTCTTCCTCCACCACCAACTCTCTGAATGTTGGAGTGTCTCTTGGCACAGCCCTGGACTTCCCTCACTAGCTTCTCATCGGGTGAACTAACTCCTGTGCCATTATATATCTTGCATGTGTTGATGACCCCCAAATGCACAGCTCCACCCTTGACCAATTCCTTGAACTTTAGACTCGTACATCCAGTTCCCTGCTGGACACCTCCCTTTGGTTATTTCATACTTAATTGGTCTAAAATCGTTCTTTTTGATTTTCACTGCCTCCCCAAAAAAACTTTTCCCGCCCCGTTTTCCCCTATCTTGCCAAGAACCCTGTTGCTCAAATCAAAAAACTTAGGAATCACCCTGATTTCTCCCTTGACTTCACTTTCTACACCCAGTCCATCAGCAAGTCCTAATGTTTCTATTTCCAAAATGTTCTCAGCATCCATCTATTTTCATCCGTCTTTGCAACCGTTACCCTATTCCTTGCACTGACATCTCTTCCCAGGGTTATAGCTGTAGCCTCCTAAACGGTCTCCTGCTTCCATTCCTGCTTCCATCCAGCTCATTCTCCTGTTAACATTCTTTTCAGCATTTATCCCCATCTTAAGTTACTATAATAACTTATTTCTTTACATTGTTATTGTCTGTTTCCTCTACTATTTTGCCATCTCCATGAGGGTAGGGACCATATCTGTGGTATCTCTCACCACATCCCAACTTCTGGCACATTGAAGAGTCTCAGTAAATACATTTGGATTAAATAAATGAGTAAGTGAATGCATGATTTTAAATATTAGGTAATATTCATAATTTGCTCAGAAAATTCCCCTGAGATTAGCCACTTCCCAGACTGGTGAAACAGAAGAATATGACCTTGTGTATCTTAATGACTCCTGAAAAGAGTGTAAAGACAACATGCTTGGGAACATAAAGTGGAGCAGGAGTTACAAGCTCAAATGTCTCTGGGTTCTGGCAGGTAACAGAAATGGGGAGGTTACCGTGTGTAAGCTACAATGAGTGGTAGGGACCATCACAATCTGAGACCCCCCAGCTATAGCCAATGCACACTCATCAACTCCAGTCAGATGTGGCCAAGCAGCCAAGGGCCCAAGGGTGAGCGATCTTCCAATTTTTCGAAAGATGGAAGTATATGCATACAAATTAGAATAGTTTTGTTCAATTTCTCAGACTTGAAAAGAAAAGGAGTTAGTTTTGCTGTGAGTAATCATTTGAAACAGCGACTTCCCCACAAAAAGACGTTTGAGGTATATAGTCAAAGACTCATGAAGCTCAAAGGAATGAGGGACTCATGCTCCTTCTAACTTATTGCTCATCTTGGCATGGTTTTCATTCTTGAAGTTACTTTATGGCCCAGTGGACTGAGGTAGCTCCAGCCATTACCTCCTCATTCTGTACACCAGGAAGCAAAAGGGGAAAGAGCGAGCCTGACTTCCTGGAAACTTCTATGCCTCATTTTTATTTCATTTCATTGTCTAGAACTTAAATGTGCAGCAACTTCTAGCTGCAAGGGAGGCTGGAAAGTGTAATGTTTGTTCTAAGTGGACATGTGCTCAACTAAGGAAGAAGGGAAGGATGGATACTGGAGTTCTAAAGTAGGAGTCTCTGCCAGAGCTGGCTATTTATGTGAAATTCCTAAGTTTTGACACCATGACAGCTAAACACAGCAGCTGTTACCTGATTTCAGCAGAGGCACTGCCAGTGTCATAAACCCTGCTTGGAGCAGCAAATGTGAATGGGAGGCATTTCAGTGTCACATGGGGCAGCCTGCAAGTCTGGCTGGTGAGGATCAAAAACAGATGCAGGTTAGCAGGACTCAGACAGGCAGTGCAAACGGGAGTGTGTTCAGGTACCCTGGGAGGTGGGGGTGAGTTGTGGAAAGCACTGTGAAGGTGGGCCATGAATAAAGTCTGAGGGGCTACTGTCTGTTACCTGTACATCCAAGCTGTGCTCAGGGCATTGGCAGCAGCATGGGCAGTCCCTGGCTTCCCTTACCTTTAGGTCTAAGCAGTTATTCCAAGGAGTGCAATTTCTATCTTCTCTGAACTATAAAGTCCCTCTCAGTATTCTGACCTCTCACATCAGGTCAAGGTCACCCTCTCTGGAGGGATAAGTGAGCCTGGACCAGACCCAAACTCCCTGAGAACTCACTGGCCCTTTCCAATCACTGCCTTCACTACCAGCCCTCTTCAATTCTCTCTAGCCCCCTCCAATCACCCAAATTGTCCTCTTAGACTTGGGCTCAGCCCAGCCCAAGGCTCCATGACAATTCCCCTCTAAATGGCCTCATCTCCCGGTTACACCAGACCTTCTAGACATGGTGGCACCACGTGGTGGTAGGAAAAGAACTGAATTTGCAGACAGTCTTCCCCCACTTGAATCTCTGCACCAAAACTTACTAGTTGACTAGACTACAAATATTTCTATAAGTGTAAATTGGTGCTAATAGCATTCTCCTTACCTACTTCACAAGGCTTTTTGGAGGATTCACAGGGATCACTTATGTAAAAGGTCTTCGTTTTAAAAAAAAAAAAAAAAGTCTAAATAGCTCTGCATACAAATTTAAGATTCCAGTAAAGATTCTCTGTAACTGCCCAAATATGTTTAAAATTAATGACTTTATTGACACAAACTTTGCCATGAAAAGTGTTATCCTAAAAGGATAGTAAGGATTAGTTTCTGTCTCATACACACATGAAAAAGTAGCCAGATGCATTTTTAGTCACATGGTTTAACTTCTGGTTGCTGTCTCCGTGAAATCCAGATTGTTCTGGGGAGGGCCAGGTCATATGCCCTGCATTTCCTTCTCCCCTGGAAGTGAGAAAGTGTTTCTATATAAAACAGAGACACTTTCTTATGGTGATAAATTCCAAACAACATGCAGCAGTGAACTGATGCAGAAACAAAGCTGTAAAGAGAAGCCACAAAGCACATCCCCAGGGAGAAAGAGCCCTTGAACTCGCAGGATCACTGCCAACCTTTGACAGCTGGGGGCTCCTGCTGAGTAATGTCAGTGGGGACATATGAGTCACAGGTTTTGCTTTTCTTTTATTATTATTAAGACGATTTTTTTTAGAACATAAAGTTCCTAAAAGCCCTTTCTCAAAGAATCACAAAATGATAAAGGTTTAGAAAAACTATAGTTTTAGGCCGGGCGCGGTGGCTCAAGCCTGTAATCCCAGCACTTTGGGAGGCCGAGACGGGCGGATCACAAGGTCAGGAGATCGAGACCATCCTGGCTAACCCGGTGAAACCTCGTCTCTACTAAAAAATACAAAAAACTAGCCGGGCGAGGTGGCGGGCGCCTGTAGTCCCAGCTACTCAGAAGGCTGAGGCAGGAGAATGGTGTGAACCCGGGAGGCGGAGCTTGCAGTGAGCTGAGATCTGGCCACTGCACTCCAGCCTGGGCGGCAGAGCCAGACTCCATCTCAAAAAAAAAAAAAAAAAAAAAAAAAAGAAAAACTATAGTTTTGTGTATGGTAAAGTCTTGTACAGTGATTAGAACACCTAGTTTAAGACACAAACCTACCCTGAATATAAAAGATTCCATTGCTGAGTGATTTGCAACACACACTATACCTTAAGGGTCTAATTCAGTCTCCTAGTTATGAAGTCACTGTTAGATTCAGGATAGACAGTAATGACTAACCAGACTCCAAATCCCTCAACATCTGCATAGTACCTGGCACAGGATGGACATTTAATGTTTAGTGAATAAATATGCAATCTGCCAATGGAAGGAAGGAAGGAAAAATGACACTACCCACTTGTGTTTGAAGAATAACAGAGTTAGCAGATAAGAAGGTTGTGTATCTGACTTTTGACCTGCATGTCAGTTCTCCGGACTATGTTATATAAACATAACATCATTAGGCTGCCTATTTCTGCTAAACGTGGAATTTATTGGTATAGTTTGGTACAACTTTAGTCCTATCTTTCCCAATCCCAGGCATGTTAACAATCCTTGAAAAATCCTGCTACATTAGTTTGGAGGAAAATACATCCAGATGAACATGTTTCAAGACATACTAGAAAATTATTCCTATCAAAACATCCTTTTTCTGTGTCAGTTACCTCATTTCTAATGCAGTGCACATCAATCTAATGTCAGTGTGAATACACATCAACCAGGTGCTGGCTTTCTAAAGTGATTCCTTTGCAGATGCCAAAATGACAGTCCTGGGGTGGTGAACAGAGAGACCAAGGTGAAGCCATGCATGCTGCCACATGTCTCTGGATCATCTCCTTCTCCTACGCAGTGTTCAATCTTTGATTAACAATTGCAAATGACCCCAATAGAGAGGGAAGACAGTTAAGAAGACAAGCAAAGGGAACTGGAAAGCTATGCAAAATTGCAATGTCTGGCTGAGCCCTGAGGGGTATCCTTATTTGGATGCATTGGCCACAAGCATGGTGACATTAAGGACTGGAGGCCAACGTGGACATCAGAATAGGAGGACTTCCCAGGCAGATGAGGAGCAGGTATGACTGCTTCACAGACACCTCCCAAAGACATGCTATGGGCAGTGGGTTGATCCATGGGAAACTGGATCTGATCTGTCTCATACCAAGCTAAGGAAACAAGGATAACAAGGAATTTTTCTCTGCCTTGATTTTTTCAATATGTGGGTTTAGAGTTGGATGGAAGCCAGCTTTTAAGTGACCCTGGTAAGATTTGTAATGATAATATTTAAAATGAAAGAAGGAAAGAATAAGCTTGCCTGAAACAGAACACACAATAATGGGCAGGAGAGTTTAGTACTAAGGTGTGACTCTTTCACCCCGGAAATGCATTTCTACTTTTCTGTTTCATAAACTGACCTGTAGCTTTAACTCACTACTTTTACACCAGACCCTATTACAGGAGTTGCAAAGAGACAAACTGAACTGCACATTTGCAGTTTATTAACATACGTAAGCACTGTGCCAATACATTTACATGATAAGTAGAAGGCTCAGAAGGGTCCCAACAAATCAGGCAGCAGTTTGCTGCCAGGTAAGACAGTCTTGCCAGGGACTCAGTAGCATTCAGGTCCAGCAAGGGGCAGCCACTTCTTCAAGGTTCTTTGATGGTATCCAGTGCCTTGAAGGACACAGAAGAAGTCCATCTACCCTTCTGCTTGGACTCTCTGCTAGTTGACACAGTTCTTTGTGATTCTTCGACTTCTGTCCATCTGTTGGATGCTGTCTGTTACATTAATGGTGACTTCTTTTGCAGACATTCTCTTAGCATCTCTTTTAGCCTGTTAAGTTGAAAACAGTGAATTGAGTTACTAGGAAATGTAAACCAAAGAAAATGACTGAGGCAAGTCTCAATCAATTTAGAGGTTTATTTTGCCCCAGTTGACAGTGTGCCTGGGAAAAAGGGACACAAATCACAGGAACATTTGTGATCTGTGCAAAAACTCCCAAAGAGGGTTTGAGGACTTCAATATTTAAGGGGGAAAGAGTGGGCAGTAGGCGAAAGAGGAAAGGAAAAGGGAGGTTAGAGAAAAGGGGCAAACAGTTACATTCTTTTGAGGCTTTGATGAGCATTCACTGAATCTACATTCTATATGTGAGAGGAAGGGATAGAGAAACAGTCAAATATGCATTCATCTCATGCTCAATGAACTTGCATTTTTACATAAGATAAAAGAAACATAGAATAGTTAATGAGTAAAATGTGCATTTGTCTCAAGTGAGCAGAAGGATGACTCCTAGTCCTGTCTTTGTCCCACACCTGTGAAGATAAGCTGTTAATTTACATGGGGTGAAATCCAACAGAAATCTGTTTTAGGGTAAAGATCTTAGGGTCCACAAGGAATTTCTTTGTGAGAAATTGTGAGGGAGTCCCCCAGAAAGGTATGTGGCCTTCTGTCTTTGCAGTTATCTATTTAGGAACAAAATGGAAGGCAGTTTTGGGTGACTTAACTCCTAAGCTTAACTTTTCCCTTTGGCATAGTGAGTTTGAAGTCCTGAGATTTTTATTTTCCTTTCACAGAAATATGCGAAGGTCCTCACAATTTGCATTAATCTCTTGAGATTATCACAAATACACACACACACACACACACACACACACACAGAGGAAGGATGATCCACACAAGAACGCATGCACATATGCTTCCTATCAGAGGTTTCTTTGTTGAATCTTTAATACCAACACAGCACAGAGCCTGGAACAGGGCATGTTCATTAAAACATTGTTGAGTGGCCGGACGTGGTGGCTCACGCCTGTAATCTCAGCACTTTGGGAGGCTGAGGCAGGTGGATCACGAGGTCAGGAGATCAAGACCATCCTGGCTAATACAGTCTCTACTAAAAATACAAAAATTAGCTGGGCATGGTGGCGGGTGCCTGTAGTCCCAGCTACTCGGGAGGCTGAGGCAGAAGAATTACGTGAACCGGGGAGATGGAGCTTGCAGTGAGCCGAGATCGCACCACTGCACTCCAGCCTGGGCAACAGAGTGAGACTCTGTCTCAAAAAAAAAAAAAAGAAAAAAAAAAAAAAGAACCACTGCTGAGTGAATGCGTGAATGAGCTACGGTCCATCAAAGGGTAATGTGAAAGTTTTCATAGTTGGCTTTAGTAGAGTGGTTAAGAGTTTGAGCTTTGGAGTCAGAGAGACTTTGGTTCAAATACTGGCTATATGATTTCACTATGGGCAAGTTTTTTCTAACCTCTCTAACCCTTATCTATAAAATGGGGAATAATAATATTATCTCTCTCACAAGATTTTGGTATGGATTAAATAAGGTAATGTATGTAAGGCTCTTAGTACAATGCCTGTCACTAAATGAAAATGGGAAAAAATAACCTTAAAAAGTAGGATAGACTATCCACTTCTAACTAAGGATTAACCAGTGACAAAAGTTCTGAATTAATATTAAACATTAAAGCATTAATTAAATTGTAGGTTCTTTAAGTATGTGTGTCCAGTCCCTGACTTTCCATCCCCCACAATGAGAAAACAACTTTGGTGAGGGGCAGTCTTGTGCCAATTCTTGTGATTGTGTCCTGGGGGTGAATACGAGTGAGCCTGTGAGTTGCCTCCACTAGTGGATGCACACAGTTATTTGCTGCCCAGCCCCACTCCAGAAAGGACCTGCTGCCTCGCTGCAGGGAGAACAGTCAGCGAGTAGCCTCCAGTCGTCCCTTTAGGGGACAGCATCAGCTGCAGAGAGCCACCTCACTCAAGTTCATGCCCTTCCCAAGATGGCCCAATGTGCAGGTAAATGGAAGGGCATAAAGGTCTGACCATTTGGGCCCTAAACAGGTCAGCTCCCACAAGCCATTTAGCTGCACGGGGCAGGGGTGGCTGGATTTCTCCCTTAACTCACTCCTGCTTCCATCACCCCTTTCCACAGGTGTTGGCCTCGAGGGCACTTCCTAACATCCTGTGTGATGACATCTGGGTCTGCCTCCTGGGAACATAGTCTGCCTCAGATCCTGTGGGAACACCCCTCCAGGCATGAGCATCTCCTTGTGCTGGGTGTTGAGAGACGCGCATTTTTCATACAACATGGCCCCTGAACACAAGCAAACTACTTCCTCCGTAGTGCATCCAAATTAATGGTGAACTATTGCACTGATGGAGAAAAATCTATTGTTCTGTTGTATTTATTAACAAATGATATGTATGTTTCTAACATGTCACATAAATCCTGTGTCCTTGTGTAGCTGATGGCGACATCCCTCTCCAGATTCCCTTTACTCTGCCAGAGCATCCCTCCCAGCTGCTGTGACTGTTGGCTGCTAACTGCTCACAGCACACTCTTCTTTTGAGAACTGCCCACATCCGATTGGAGCCACCCCCTCCAGGAATGCCAAACAGGCCCATGTCCTGGAGAGGCCCATATCCCATGCCTGATTGTTAGGATACAAAAGGCTGCCCTTTTTGTCTTTGGGGGGTACAAATCCATGGTGCTTTGTGTGCCCCACGGCTCCTTGCAGTCAGGCTGTGGCTAGACTATAGCTGTTCAGCTGACTGAACTCACACATTTGCTGAATCTGATCTTCTGCCCTGCCCTGCTTCCTCCACTACCACGCAGGTTTCACCTGAGAGTACTTTTTCAATTACTTGCATCCTTTCAATTACTTGCATCCTTATCTCAGGTTCTGCTTCTAGGGAACCTAACCAAAGATAACACTTTATAGGTGATTTGAGAAACATTTAAGGATAATTTTGACTCTACATAATTTTAGTCTTATCTATTGATTTCATGAGATAGGATGTCACTGCTTTCCTCTGTGTGTTCCTAGTGCCTAGCACAGTTCTGAGACATCATAAGCTCTCAGTTTAACTTTGTTTGAATAAGCGAATGAATGAATGAATAAATGCACTACACTTGTCAGTGTACCCTTGCTTTAACAACCAGTAGGCAATACTGTTTAGGGCTCAGTCTTACACTCAGGTTTTCTGAGCCTGAACTGGCACCAGGGCTAGCAAAGACTTTTATGGGCTTATTTTTCCCCCAAAGCAGAGAACTGATAAAATCACACAACCTTGAAACTAAGCATTTCTTGTTATTTGTCTGTAACTCCTCCTGTCCTTTAAAGCATTCTTTCTAAGAGTAGTGAGGACTAAGCTCTGATTTTTTAAAATCTTGCCCAAATTCCTAAGGGGTCTGGAGAGTCATGCCCTACAAACCATAAATTCTCATCAGATGGGTTTTATTTAACCCTGTATATTGTGACTTATGCCACGATATACATGCCAATCTGACTCTGGCATAACAAGGAAGAAAATAAAAATATTTTACCCCAAAACGTTTTTCTGTCATATTTTGAAACGGTCCTGCAAAGCCATCCTTTGGGGGAAAACTCCACATTCTGTAGAGAATCCCCTTTCCCCTTCCTTTCGTCTTCCTTCCTTCCTTTCTAGATCCAGGCGATAATCAACTAAGTGCTAGGTGCCCTTTTAGGTAGGATAAGAAACATTTTACAACCTGCTCTCCCTGAAGTCTGCTATCTGAGAGCTTCCCCTGCACAACAAAACTTGGTCTCTGCAATCCTTTATCTTAACCTGAACATTTCCTATCTATTGATCCTAGATCTTCAGATAAACGCAACCAATTGTCTACCAGAAAATGTTTAAATTTACCTATAGCCTAGAAGCCCCCGCCCCCTGTCCGCCCACTCTGCTTTAAGTTGTCCTGCCTTTCTGAACCAAACCAATGTATTTCTTAAATGTATTTGATTGATGTCTCATGCCTCCCTAAAATATACAAAACCAAGCTGTGCCCTGCCCACCTTGGGCACATGTTCTTGGGACATCCTGAGGGTTGTGTCATGGGCCATGGTCACTCATATTTGGCTCAGAATAAATCTCTTCAAATATTTTACAGAGTTTGACTGTTTTCATCAACAGTAGTTATTTCATTTTCTGAGTTCACATTGCACTATCCCATGCCTGCTAAACACACACACACACAGAGGCACACAGATGCACACGCACGTATGCACACACACACAAAGCGTTGTGAAGGAAAAGACAGTGATTCTGTTTCCTAAAGAAAACCGTGGTGATTATGAGACCAATTCCGTCTAACTTCCACTTCTGGGTCGCTACATAGCTTTAAGGACTGGGGCATGGAATACAATGCAGAGGCTTCTTTAAAGTGAGCCAAATTGACAGTAGCATTCCCTTCAAACTGGTGGGAGGTAAGAGGGCTTTCCAGAATGGAAATGGAAATGTTCCAAACTGCAGAAATGCTTTTCTTTAGAAAAGACTGTTGGTAAGATTTCACAAAAGTTTATTAAAGGTGATACACAGATGATACAAAGCTCTCTATTTCACTCTGTACTTCTAAGCTTAAAAATCTAAGCAAAAATCCAGTAGTTGGATTTCCAAGCCTATTTAAGAGGCTACAAAGTAGTCATTCCTATAACAGCCACAGATATATGTAATTGTAACCCAATTACAATAGGGCCATTTCTTAAATCTGTATATCATAAGCCTGCACAATGGAAATGTTCAGAGCACGAGCTTTGGGGCCAGATAGACCTGGGCATGGAGCAAGCCTTTGCTACCAGTTAGCTGCAACAAGACATGTTGCTTTGACATTTGAGTTTCAGTTCTATTATCTGAAAAATGAAGGAAATAATGCCTGCTTTTTACTTTTCTTTGAGAGAATTAAGTATGTCACATAACATTGAGAGGGTTACCAACTTCTCCTAGTTTATTCTGGTTTATCCAGGGCCGATAATTTTTCTTTCTTTTTTTTTTTTTTTTTTTTTGAGAGAGAGTTTCACTCTGTTG